TTCGGCCTGGGATCAAGGGAGTGTTTGTTTTTCCACAGAGCCTTGTGGGTCACATTCGTGGCTAGCTTTGAGGGAGGGACAGGACGGAATCAAACAGGAACAGTATCTGAGCCGAATTCTGATGAACCTAGGACAGGCTTATAATATGAGCTGCTTTCTATTCAGAGAGTTTTGAAAGAAAGAAAAAAGGCAATCATTTGGGGTCTTTTAAATTCCACAGGTCCCCCTGCTAACTTATGCTCTTGGCTACCTTGTATGTAGATACATATGGTCTCTTTCTTTTTATTTTTCCATTGGTGACCTGGACCAGCAAGACCTTATTTTAACAGTAACAGAGTTGGAAGAGACCTTGGAGGTCATCTAGTCCAACCCCCTACTCACGCAGGAGACCTGTACTAGGGATTCCAACCACCGAACTGCCAACCTTTCTGATCGACAAGCTCAGTGTCTTAGCCACGGAGCCACGTTTCTGTTTAATGGATCTTTATTTTTATTTTGACAGAATTTCCCCTTCAGGTGATTTAATGGGTGGGGCATCTGTGTGTAAGGGGCAAGAGCAAGGGAAACACATTAGTTCTATGTTCAATCACTTGAGTCCTTTACAAAGACAGTTAGAGCTGCTTTGTAGCATGAGATGGACAGCACAGTTTGGTGTCCCAGTTAAGGAGCCAGGCTACAAACCTGGAAGCTATGAGTCCTGATCCTACCTTAGGCACTTCTATTATTTCTCTGGGTGACTTTGGGCCAGTCACTGTCTTTCTCATCCCAAAATCACCTCACAGGGTTATTATTGTGGGGAAAATAGGAGAGGAAGGAGTATTGTGTAGGTTCAGCACCTTGAGTTATTTATAAAAATGATAAAGGTGGGATACAAATAATAAAACAAAAGTAAAAATATATAAATTTAATAAACAGATAAATAAATTAATAAATAAAATGACTACTGGATAACACCAAAGAAATACAGAGAATTCTAAATCTTTGGTGCTATCTAGTGTTCAAATGGATTGAAATACAATGAATACAATAAAATAATAATTTAAACAATAATATAGAGTATCAGTGTTAAGTGCAATAACTAAATAAGAGAGAGTGAAATAAAGTGGTGCAAGAATTTCAATGAATCACTTTTCAGATGAATTAATTTTAGTTAGCTTGATCGTGAAAATGCTTTCTGAATTAGTCATTGTTAATAGTTTCCTAAAGGTCAGGGAGGGAACGTACGGGTCCCATTTTTCAATGGGACCCAATCCAAAGCAATGGAATAAAAAGAAGTATAGCATTCCCTGCGTTCCAGACTATAGAATCACTCTTGGATGTTTTCCTACAAAATTTGATATATTAAGCCAATCTATTTGGGAGAAGCAATGACTAGAAGGGGATTATGGTTCAATATCAGCATTTTAAATCATGCATGGAAAATCAATAATCAGTACAGAGCAGGGGTGAAATGCTACCAGTTCACTCTGTTTGGGTGAACTGGTAGTGAAAAAAAAATGTTTTAAAAAGGTAAAAAAAAAAAAAGTTCCGACGATCGCACGGCACAAGTGTGCCGCGCGATCGTCGGAACCTTTTATTTATTTATTTATTTTATTTATTTATTTATTATTTGGACTTATATGGTGCCCTATCTCCAAAAGGACTCAGGGCGGCTCACAACAATAAAACACATACAGTCCAATCCTTCCTTTAAAAATACTCAATAAAACTGTAAAAACCATTAAAATCCGCTCTAAAACCCCTTCAGTCCAAGCCGGCCAGGTGAAATAGCCATGTTTTAAGGCCACGGCGGAAAGAGCGAAGGTCAGGGGCCACTCGGAGCCGCAGGGGGAGCTGATTCCACAGGGTAGGTGCACCCACAAAGAAGGCCCGCTCCCTAGGGGTCGCCAGCCAACATTGTCTGGCCGACGGCACCCCAAGGAGGCCCTCCCTGTGGGAACACACTGGGCGACGGGGAGCTGTCGCTGGCCGCAGATGGTCCGCCAAATACCCCGGGTCTAAGCCATGTACTTTATTTTTTTAAAGCATTTTTTACTACCTATTCACCCAAACTGGTAGTAAAAAATGCTTTAAAAAAGTAAAAAAAAAAGAGTTGGCCACACCCACCCAGTCACATGACACTCCCCCAAGCCACGCTCACCAAACCACGCCCACAGAACCAGTAGCAACAAATTTTACATTTCAACACTGGTACAGAGCCTGCAGCATGGAGGTTACATGTTCCAAATGTTGGGAACTGGTAACTTACCTGATCCAATACAATCTGGATCAAATGTGGTTTCCAAGCATTCTTCAAACGTAATCCCAGGTAAAGCAATAATCAAATCAAGTGGTGATAGCACTTGCATGAATTACTGTAGCTAGGTCTTCTTGCACCAGGTAGAGTTGAAAAAGGTGCACCAGCTAAAGTTGTTCTGCTAGCCATGTCCTTCACCTGCAAATGTTCTGCTAGCCACGTCCTTCACCTGCCGTTCAAACAGGAGCAGCTGGAGCATCCAATTGTGAACATGGTATTTCAAGGACGGTGCCTGCCCATCCATTGATAATCCTAGTGTCAGCAGAGAACCCCATTATATAAACAATGCTTCTACCTTATTAGGGTTCCATGCTCATCCGTTCTGTTCCATCCAAACTTTTTCATCCTCCAAGCATAGGGACAGGATGTTGACAGCAACTCCCTTATGGTATGGGGTGGTGAGATAAACTTGGGCGTCATCAGCATTTTGATGATGCCACACCCCAAAGTTTCGGATGACTTTATCCAATGGCTTTCATATAGTTACGTCGGCCAGTTGTATATTGGGGCAGTAACACCATTTAGCTGTCAGAGCATCAAAAGAACAGATCGATTCCTTCTTGCCAAAGTAGCACTTTTTCTTTGAAAATCAGTTCTTTCTCAGGGGAGGGATGAGAATTATGCATTAAGGAAGCTATTCTGGAGGGTGGGGGAGAGAAATCAACATTGCCCAGAAAACAAACTGTGACTCACAATGTCCCTGGATTCATTTTATCAGCAAATCTTTAGTACAGAGTCTGTTGGTAATACTTTGTACAGGACCAAAAGCACCAGTTACTGGAGGAGAGAGAAGGAAAGGGAGAGATAGATAGCACGTCTAATAGCTCATCCAATCTTGTGTTTCACATCACAATCATACACTTACAAATACTGAATTTAAGCAGGCTTACTTCCAAATACATGAACATAGTCTGCGAATTCATATAAATTGAAGCTTTGCATACATGGACCCTTTAGTTGTCCAGAAACCAACGTATTTGTAGACTTCACTTTATATTACTGTGGAGAATTTTTATTAATAGTTTGTACTATATATTATGTTACTATTTATGTCTATCAGTTACTATCCTGTTACAAATCAATAAAGATTTTACATTGAGAGGCAATATGTGTCGTAGTGCTAAGTACTATAAAAAGCAATAGGGAGATATTTCTTCCTTGCTTGCTCAATACATTTCCGGTGGGGATGGGGCATATAGTCATTCATGAAGATTTGATGGGTTTCTGTCCTGATCCGATACAGATAATGATTGATTTGTTTAAAGGACTAAAAATTGGGAATAGAACTGGCCCGACCTCCTAGCCCTCAAAAGTACTTGAAAGAAGTAGCTCTGATCAGAATCCAGGCATTTAGGGGACTGGAGGCTAAAACATATGAAGAACAGTGGCAGTAACTGGGTATGTCTAGTTTGATGAAGAGAAGGACTAGGGGAGACATGATAGCAGTGTTCCAATATCTCAGGGGCTGCCACAAAGAAGAGGGAGTCAAACTATTCTCTAAAGCACCTGAGGGTAGAACAAGAAGCAATGGATGGAAACTAATCAAGGAGAGTAGCAACTTAGAACTAAGGCAAAATTTCCTGACAGTTAGAACAATTAATAAGTGGAACAACTTGCCTGCAGAAGTTGTGAATGCCCCAACATTGGAGATTTTTAAGAAGATGTTGGATAACCATTTGTCTGAAGTGGTGTAGGGTTTCCTGCCTGGGCAGGGGGTTGGACTAGAAGACCTCCAAGGTCCCTTCCAACTCTTCTCTTCTCTTCTCTTCTCTTCTCTTCTCTTCTCTTCTCTTCTCTTCTCTTCTCTTCTTTCTTCTCTTCTCTTCTCCTCTTCTATTATCTAAATTTGTGGAGTTATACAGGACACAAATGAGCTACCACTCCAAAGAAACGAGAATGTAGAAAGTGATAAGTTTGAAGCTGGTAAGGCAGAAATCTCTCATTTTTACACCTGAGAAAGCCATATTATAAATAAGAGAAAAGAAGCAGAATCTTTCAAAGCCAAGAGAAAAATAGTGAAACAAAAAGGGGAGAGAAAGAGCCAGGATTTAAACCTTGAGACTAACATATATAAAGTGCCCGGTTCCTCCTGGGCGTTGTTAAATGAATTTTCCTGCCTGTATGGCTTCCTAATATTCTGCAGTATGTGGACTTATGTAACCGTGTTGAATTTGTGTGATGAATGCTGAGCAGTAAGAGGCATGAATGAAAATAAAATAAATGGAAGCAGTGACAGGCATATAGAATTGTGAATTATTCAACTCAAGTTCTGGATACTAGGCAAACTAACAGCAAATCTAAAGTAAATGTCCAGAGTGTTTGAGCCTTGAAATGCAGGGGGTTGGACTAGAAGACCTCTAAGGTCCCTTCCAACTCTGTTATTCTATTCTATTCTATTTCTTATGTGAAACTGATGGCCAATTGCCTCACATCTATGTAAAACAATATTTTCTCCCATAATCTATTGTCAAGCTCAACTCCTGCTGACTTCATCCATGCAGTCTTGAATTGCCCTTTAATGTGATGTTGCTTTTTAAAATCAATCCATCCATCCAATGAATTTCCAGGTTGGCTGTATTAATATGAAGACTGTCTAGCTGGCAATATTCAGAACAAGTAGAGAAATGGTGATTGATATATGGGAAAAAGATAATCCTTTTCTGATTCCTGGTGATTGACAGGTTCTTTTCTCTGTTTCTTACAGGAAGGGCTCTGACATGTGGATGAGAGGCAGCAGCATTGTGGAGAAGAGTGGAGAGTCAGCCTTCAAAGGAACAGAAACAGAGGAGCAGAAAACAAGTTCAGTTTACCTGTACACAGTGGGGAAACTTTGACTGTTGTTTGCTCAAAACCTTACTTTCATTCAGTCATTTTCACTTCATATCTCAATATGACATGAAGTCAGGAGATAATTGTTCATAGGCTAAGCTGCTGAGAGGCAATAGGTAATGCTGATCTCGTTCCCAGACATTATTTTTATTTTTGCTTGGTTTTTTTTTTTTTTTTTGTATGCTGCTCATATGAACACCAACAAATCCCTCCATACACTCATGCTGAACTCATACTTTAATATATAGATATACATATTCAGCACAGTCCATTCATCTTATATGAGCAGCTTCATAGTATAATAATTGTTTGAGCGTGGACTGGGTATAATAAATATCCTGCTGAGCTCAAACTAAAAAATTGAACCAGATCTCAGAGGTGGGGTGGGATGGGAGAAGTGCTATAGTTATTTCCTAGTTTATAAGCTTCCTTCTTTCCTAGGCATCCCTTCCTAGCAGAAGACTTTTAAATAGGATAACAGATAACAGAGTTGGAAGGGACTTGGAGCAGTGGTGAAATCCAAATTTTTTTACTACTGGTTCTGTGGGCGTGGCTTGGTGGGCATGGCAGGGGAAGGATACTGCAAAATCTCCATTCCCTCCTCACTCTGGGGCCAGCCAGAGGTGGCATTTGCCAGTTCTCTGAACTACTCAAAATTTCCGCTATCGGTTCTCCAGAACCTGTCAGAACCTGCTGGATTTCACCCCTGCCTTGGAGGTCATCTAGTCTAACCCCCTGCTCACACAGGAGATCCTGTACAAGGGATTTGAACCGCCAAACTGCCAACCTTTCTGATTGACAATGATCATCTGACTGTATGACAATGATGACAATGATAATCTGACTGTAGTCTGAGGTGAGCTTTCTTGTGCCTGGTTCCATCCTGGACCCTTTGGCCTTCCCCACCGCCTCGGAAGCCCTCCAGAGGCCACCAGAAACAGTCCGTTTCCCAATGTCCGGTGGGCCTGGAAGGCTGGAAAATCAGGTGGCCGGCACGCGCATGCACGCTGCAGCTGAGCTAGGGCAACGCTCGCGTGCCCACAGATATGGCATCGTGTGCCACATGTGGCATACATGCAAAAGGTTAGCCATCATAGGCTTAAGCCCTCAGCTAAATAGAAACTTTTAGTGATTTTCACACAGGGCTTCCTTTCTCATACTTCATTGAGTCCCATCAATGTCCACATCGACTTCATATGATATTTATGTGAATCAGCCAACTTAACCATCTAAGACTGTTTTTAGGTCAGCCACCTGTCTGGCTGTAGCAGATGACTTTCCTAAAAACCACCATTGCACATGATTGCGCTGTATCAGTATCAGAACAAACTGTTTCATTGTAATAGGTTTGCCTAAAGCAATGTTTTTTCCTCAACTTCAACAACCTTAAGGTGTGGACTTCAACTCCCAGAATTCCTCAGCCTGCTCTAAAGCAACCTTTCCCTGCTGTAGTTTCCAAGTTTTCTGTGATACAACTGCCATAACTCCAAGCCTACAACCAAGTTGCCTAGGCATTTGAAATCCTAATACATCCAAAAGATCCCTGATTGAGGAAGGCTGCCATAACCAATTCTGGGAATTAAATTAAGGATAACCTGAACCTTTTCAAGAGCCTTGGTGGCGCAGTGGTTAGAGTGCAGTACTGTAGGCTATTTCTGCTGCCTGCCGGCTGCCTGCAATTTGGCAGTTCAAATCCCACCAGACTCAAGGTTGATTCAGCCTTCCATCCTTCCGAGGTGGGTAAAATGAGGACCCAGATTGTTGGGGGCAATAGGCTGACTCTGTAAACCACTTAGAAAGGGCTGTAAAGCACTGTAAAGCAGTATATAAGTCTAAGTGCTATTGCTATCCCTGTCACATCCCATACAATGTTTCTCTCTTATCCCTAGTCAATGGCCTGGTTTACACAGAGAACTAAGACATAACATACTTCATTGGTTGGTTTTTGACACAGCATGACATATGAACGTTTTTCAAGAGGCAACTGGACTTTCTTGTTTTTTCTTTGAGGACATTTCGCTTGTCATCCAAGAAGCTTCTTCATCTCTGAGTGGATGCTAGGAAATGGAAGGTTTTATATTCCTTGCAGACAGCTGGCCATTTGCATTGTTTTAGAGAGTTGTTGAGGCCACTTGGAGGTTTATCTGTGTCCTCAGGGTCACCTGAGTAGACACCTAACCTAGAATCTCCATAGGCATGACATATGAACCTTATGTCTTAGCAGTGCATGTGGACTCTGACTTGTTCAATAATACTGAAATCCAGGTTTACATGTTTTATATAGGGATGTAGCCCATCACTTTTTCTTCCATTATAGAAATGGAAGTTCATAGAGCTCCAAGAGGAAAGGAAGTCAATTCAGATCTGCAGTGTAAGTAACATCATAGCCATAGTCCAAAACACTGTTCAATGTACATAAGCTTGGCCTGTTAAGCTATCATATGTCTCCTTAGCCAAATACCGATTTATAAACATTGTTGTTTAGGTGGCCTTTTTTTAAAAAAAAAAGAAGTTGCAGTGAGAAAAACAGCTATAGATGCCACCATCAATAACAAATATTTCTTGAACCCTGCTCTTCATTTTTCTTTTCTACATTTGCAGGCTCTTCTCCTTTGGAAACTATTTGAACAATGGTATAATGTCCTTTGGTTTCCCTTTGAACTCATTGCAGCTCATTCCCAAATTTGGCTATTATTTTTCATCCATCAATCCAAATTTATTCGCGGGCTGAATATAATGCATTTGGCAAGTTTCCTGAAACAAAGACCTGATCCATTTGAGGTTTTGATCTATATAATTTCCAAATGGTTACCGGTCTTGAATCTGTCAATCTGTCCAATCTAACTATGGATTTAGAACTTAGAAAGGCTCAGCTATAGCAAAAGTGAATGCAGAGCTATTGAGGATTTGATTGTTGATAATATGAGAAAATGAGGATTTGATTGTTGATAATATGAGAAAAGTGCATCCTCATATACAGGAGTGCATGTTACACTGTGAGATTAGGGTATCTGGAAAGTTTCTAAGTCACAGCAGGGCTTTTAACGCAAAGCATATTGCTGCTGATATCTTAACCAGCATTGCCTTTCAGGGTCTGAAAAATGCTACAAAAAATCCCTTTGCCATTTTTTCCTTCTCTTCTTTGTTCCCCCATTTCATTTAACAAATGTGATAGCTGGGGGGGGGGGATAGAAAAAAATAGAAGAAACAAGTTTCTTGTTCGTTTTGGAGGGTTACTGCGTCTCTGCTTGAAGTTGGCTTCATAGATTACCTGTGCTATAGTGAGCTGCTACCTCTCTCTCCATCTTTCATGGCACAATGCTCGCCTCTCGCTGTGTTGATGGAGGAAGCTGGTAAGGATGCTGCGATCCAAGAGCTTCTGAGGACCAAGCCTAGAGCAGAGAGAAAAGAGAGGCTGCCAAACAGCCGGAATGGAGCTGCAGCCCCTGGAGCTGCCATCTGCTTCTTGTCAAGTTGTTGTGAAGTGCTTGTTCCTGATGACGGAGGTTGCTGGACAGCAGTGTGAGGATGCGGTTATGACAGATGCTCTGTTTACCATACTTCAAGCCCTAGTCAGGCTGACACAGGATGTTAGCTTTTCCCTGGAAAAAAGTGTTGCTCGATCTTTTTTTTTTTTTTTTTAATTTGATTTATATGCCGCCCTTCTCCGGAGACTCAGGGTGGCTTACAATACATTAAGCAATAGCCTTCATACTTTTGTATATTTATACAAAGTCAGCTTATTGCCCCCACAAACTGGGTCCTCATTTAACCTACCTTAGAAAGGATGGAAGGCTGAGTCAACCTTGAGCCTGGTAAGATTCGAACCTGCAGTAATTGCAGGCAGCTGTGTTAATAACAGGGTGCTTTAAACCACTGTACTACCAAGGCTCTTCGTTCAGCGCATGCAATCAAATCCTCCCTTTCTGGATCCATCTGTACGTAGAAAAGTCAAAAGAAACTGAAATGAATTCCCAGGTCATGGTTGTCTCTCTCAGATGGCCTCACCCAAAAGATGAGATAATTCTAAAATTAATTCCCTCAGCGCCTTCTGGGTCCGACCTGTATCTGGAATTACATTTATTCCTTGCTTCCAAACACAATGTGTATTATTGGAAGAGGCATGGGCATATAGGTCAGGGAATAGCTAAATCATAGTTTTGTTTATATGGCTATGGAATTCAACTTTAAGCAGACAAACATCAAGCTGATTATCTCACATCTGACTTATTTCAGCATTGCCAAGCATAGCTAATCTAACATTCCCATAGTGGCTGAAATGTCTTTTTAAGCACGCTGTTTGATCAGCCACTACATTTATTCTGAGCGCAGCTACAATTTGTGTCCACTGTATGAAGGCCTGGAGGGGTCTAGGTAGAAAATGCATATATAATGTTATCATACACCGAAAGCAATGCCTTGGCAATAACAGCAGCAAAAACTCATAAACACCCACCAAAGCTGATACCGAAAAGGAAAGGAAGCCTAAATCCTTGTTACGCCTTGGCAGAATTTCTACTGATCTCAATTTCAGTGTTGAGAAATATTCACAAGATCAAAAGCAATCTCTGTTTATTCTGAGCATCAACAACGCCTGGCCAAACATCCTGTTATTGTTGGGTACATGCTCACAAAATGGAATTGTTGTAGAGCAACAGATTCAGAGAACTTTCCCAACTATTTTCTGCCTTCCATATAAGTTTTCTTCAATGATATTTATTTATTGTATTTTTTAAAAAAAACAAAAAACAAGGAGACAATTGTAGCCACCATTAGGTTAGGCTTAGTAAAGTTTCTCAAGATCATCGAGTCATGGTTTTATGGCTACAGGAAGATCTGAATGTGGGACTTCTTGAACTAAATTAGATATGCTAATCATTCTGACACCATGCTGTTATTTTTAAAGTGAGACATTTTTCTGTAAATACATCTGAAAGGTGCCTTGACACCTATACAGATATGGCCTTGGCCAGTAAGCACTTTCCGTACTTCTAATTTTGTCATCTAACTTCCTACAAGGAAAATCCTGCAAAAATGTCCAATCATTGTATTAAAACATATTTCCTACAGCAAAAGCTCCATAAAAATCCTCTACTTCAACTTTGATTTTTAACAGTGCATATGATTGGTGCCTGCTATGAATAAATGGTCTGGAGAATCCTTTGCAAAATTCAGGGCTTCCTGAGAAGATGATCAGGATCTCCCAGGGAGCAACTTGATAGGGGGGAGGGGGGAAGTAGTAGGAAAAAAATGGTACTACCATGTTTCCCAAAAAATAAGACCTTCCCCCAAAATAAGCCCTTCCCAAAAAATAAACCATCCCCTGAAAATAAGTCCTCCCCCGAAAATAAGCCCTCCTCGAAAATATTTAAACACATACACAGCCAGTCCCCGCCATTTCCTCTGGATAGGGGGACAGACCTGGAAATCAGGTAAGATGGCAAGAGGAGCCCCATCTTATTCCATGCGCCCCAAAATAATAAGACCTCCCCGAAAATAAGGCCAACCACTTATTTCAGGGTTCAAAAAAATATAAGACAGTGTCTTATTTTCGGGAAAACATGGTAGAAAATTTAGAAACTGCAAGTCGCTCCAAATCCTCTTATTTTTCTTCCCAATAACTGCCTAAGCTCTCTGCGACAGCTCTTCTGAGTGAAAGCTGCTTCCAAGATGGACACTTTTATGACTTCGATGTCTCCCAGCCCAAGGTGCAGTGCTGCATCTCTGGTCAGTTGTGAGTCTGAGATGAAGCACTGTAGCTCAGGAAGGGAGAAACAAAGCCACGGAAAGAAAAGGACCAGCCCTGCTCTCCTGTGATCAAGTCAAGCACCCAGAGGTAAGAATCCGGGCAGATATGATCTTGAATAGGGGTCTCCAACCTTGGCAACTTTAAGACTTGTGGACTTCAACTCCCAGAATTCCTCAGCCAGTTGGAGACCCCTGATCTAGAAGGTGACGATTCTACAACGTTGAAGAACAGCGTGGAGAAAATGACAGATTGCAGAGAATGCTACAAATACCGAAACCCATTCTGTCTGGCCAGGCATCATGGAGGATATAGTGCAAGGCAACTGGCCTTCTGGTTTGGGAGGAAGTGAAGTTCACAAGAGCAAAAAAGCAGGTGACCCAAACAGACTCCTGCCCTGAACAGGGGCGAGGAAGGTTTCTCAAGTCATTCCTATTTTGAAAAAGAAATCATAGGCCCGGGAATCAGTGGCCTCTTTTGGTTCCACTAAATCACCTTCTAACTGCTGCCACCCAGTGGAAATAGACACTGAGGGAAACACTTATTGTGTAGCAGAGGGGAAGGAGCGAATTAAGAGAAAATTCCAGCCCAATCTCACTATGTCCTCGGGGTCCAGTTTTCCCAGGAATCCCTTAGAAGATAAGAAGGGGATTCCTGGAAATACTGTTCTTGGGGTCATGGCTCAGCAACCGATACAACTGTTCGCTTTTATCAGGTCAGAGGGAGCCATACAAACAATCAGAAAGTCAATGGGAATAGAAAAACAAGATCTCTAAAAGACTTTTGAGACACATCCATTTTTATTTTCTTAAGCTTTCCAAAAGTTAACAAACCTGATCAAAAATTGTACAGGGATCCTCTCAAACCTATAATTTCTTTTGGGGTTGAAGGCCACAGCCTCTGAATGAAGTACCTAGTACTCTGAAGAATAGTAGATGGCAAAACGTCTTCTGATTTCATTTTATTTACATTTTAATTGGAAATAAAATTACCATTTAAATTACATTTTATTTTAAGGTGTTGAATTGGCTTGCCCTCCTGTTTTTAATATTTTCACCTTCTTTAATATTAAGCATTACAATGTAGGAGGAGGCAATGGCTGCTGTTTTTGAAGGCCACATGTCATCTGGGGTTCAACCTACCTAATTTAGGTCCTAAATTAAGAAACTTAGCTTCCTAAGAGATCAGAGCTAGAGAAAGATCTTTCTTAGCAGGCGCCACTCACATTTTATTTAGATTTTACAACTCTTTCACTAACAAAAATAAGCTAGCACAGATAAGGGAATCAAAGTGGAATATCGTGGCTGTGGAATTCTTGTGTTTCCTGAGCTTGGTTGTTTGCAGCTGGCTCTGCTGACTTGTTCGGGGCCCACATATTTGGGATGTGTACCTGAAACCATGGGGCTGCTTAGTGCCCTGGAACCCCTCCCCTGCCTTATATATATATATCTTTTATGTTTTTATGCCTACTTGTATACCACCCAGGGCCACTCCGTGAGGGAGATGGGCCCCAATAATATCATAGTTCTTCACTTAATTTGGAGAATTTCACACATCTGTACATTCATATATTGGTGTTCCAATCTAGCTCAATAAATGAAAGATGGAATCTGTTTTGGATTGCAAGGAATCATATGGAACAGTTTTCTCGGTATTGTACAGTATGCCAATGGTTGAATCTTACTGTTGAAATTCCTCCTCTCATTCTCAACAGTCCCATCATTGCAGAATGGACAACAGGCAGCACCTAATCCCTTCTGTGAAGATTTCTGTGTCAATAAAGCTTAAAACTTGTTTTTTGAAACATTATTTTTATGAGTA